TCCAGGTACGCTACATCCACGGCATTCCCCGCATCTACCCAGCTTGTAGCTCTATCGAAGAAAGAGATCAGATTAGTCTGGCATGACTTGTTTTTGATAAATCCATGTTGACTATTAGCGATGACTGCGTTTGTTTCTAAGTGTTTGCAGACCGCTTCCTTAACAATCTTTTCCAGAATCTTGCCCGGTATCGACGTGAGGCTGACCGGACGGTAGTTGTTTGGGTCATCCTTTTTTCCCTTCTTGAAGATTGGGACCACATTGTCCCTCCTCCAATCTGCTGGAACTTCTCCCGTTCTCCAAGAACTCTCAAAGATGGTTGCCAATGGTTCCGAAATGACTTCCGCTAGTTCCTTCAATACTCTTGGGTGTAGTTGATCTGGCCCTGGGGACTTGAACTCATTTAGAGCGGCCAGGTATTCCTGGACGACTTGTTTCCCAATTTGGGGTTGGATGTCCTCCAATCCCTCATCCACTCCATCTTGCTGAGGTTGCAGACTCTCTTTTTGTGAGAAGACCGAGGCAAAGAAGGCATTAAGTAGTTCTGCCTTTTCCCTATCCCCTGTCAGCATTGCCCCCCTTCTTCCCAGAAGTATTTGTGTACTTTATTGCCCTTAATTTAAGAAGGGAGCTTCTCTGGCTCAAGAGGTCTGACACACATTTGTAAGAGTCAACATTAGGGGCTTTCTACCAAAGTTGGGCAATTTTCTTTTGTATATTTACTCTTTTATCTAAGATACAGTAGCTGTAACAATAAAAGTATGACAAGTTTTTACCTTTTTACACCATACCAGAGCTTCCTATGTATTTTCTCTTCTGTTTCTAACCATAAGCTCATATATAGTACCAGCTACACTGCACTCTACTATAGGTAAAAATAAAGCTTTTTCCAACTTTCCTTAACACATTGTTTCCACACTTTTGCTGTAAACAGTTTTTTTCCTTTCTCTCTCCTTTTTTAGTACATCATCACCAATATGCTTCATCCTTTTGTGAGCAACTTTTATTCACAATAAAAATAAGTTTTAAAAAAGATAAAGCTTTCCCCTTGACATTAAGTCTAGTCATGCTCGACTGGGGGGTGATGCTCATCTTCATTTCAAAGCCAAAGAACCAGTGTTGTCCGTAGATGCCTCCAAGGTCATGTGGCTGGAATGACTGCATGGAGCACTGATTACCTTCCCACTGAAGCAGTGATGTAGAGCACGATTTTAGGGGGCCATGCCAAGGCAGAGGCCAGCAAGACCCAAAAAGAGGATCCGCTATGCCTGGTGAGACAATAAGCATCATTATTTTCTTTTTGTCATGTCAGGAGCAACTTGAGAAACTGCAAGTTGCTTCTGGTGTGAGAGAATTGGCCGTCTGCATGGACATTGCCCAGGGGACGCCCGGATTATTTGATGTTTTTATCATCCTTGTGGGAGGCTTTTCTCATGTCCCTGTATGAGGAGCTGGAGCTGATAGATGGAGCTCATCCGCCTTTCCCCAGATTTGAACCTGTGACCTGTCGGTCTTCAGTCCTGCTGGCACAAGGATTTAACCCATTGCGCCACCGGGGGCTCCCATAAGCATCAATAAAAGTTTTCCTGTTTTCAAATAAATCTCACCAGGATAAAGCAAAGGCACCAACGTTTATTTTCTATTCCAGCTGGAAAGGATGACAACTACAGTAACCTGCCAAGGAGTCGACAACTCTAGAGGAAGCAAATACAGAATATATAGGCCTATCTAATTCAAATGTCCCGCGCCCGCCCCTCGATCTGGCTTCGCTCTGATTGGTCCAGGCTAGGCCCAGTCAAATACTTTTTGTGACAAGGTTTTCAGTAGATTATAGTAAACTCCAGTAAATATAGCAGTTACCTTCTGTTATAAATATATGAAATATAAGGCATAAATCTTGACTGAATGTCCACACCATCTAACCTGTTGTGGTTGTTAATCCTTCTACAGATTGGCCAAAACCCAACCCTTATTATACCATTCCAGCTTGGTGTCCTTGGCAAAACTTTGAATTCCCTGATTATAAACTATCTTTTATTGGGGGGGGGGGGTCATGTATGACAACAGCAATGCCTATTGATCTACTCACATTTGCATGTTTTCTGCTAGGTTGGCAGAAATAAGGGATAACAATAGGTGTTCACCCCGCACCCTGGATTTGAATCACCGACCTTTTGGTCAGCAAGTTCAGCAGCTCAGTGGTTTAAGCTGCTGTGCTACTGGTGGCACTCTACTATAGATACCAAATATTCCTTCACGAATGACTACACCATGCTAGATTTCCATTACACACATACTGAAGGACAAACCTTACTGAACTCACTGGGGCTTACCTGCAAGAAATTTGGAATCCAGGAAGAAATCTCCACTCCCCTTACTTTTGTGGGGGGAGTCAAGGCTGACCAGACACATAAGGCCTAATAAGACAATAGGGTTCTTCTGGGGAGGAGGGAGTATGCTTTTTAGGAGATGATTTATGTGTGTTTGATATAGTTGACAACAGAGTTGTAGTTCCTTTGCATTGATGCTTGCTTTACAATTGAATTCCAAATAATAAAAACTGAATTTACCAAAGACATACTACCAAAAACATCAGAGGATGCCACCACAGATGCAGGTGAAGCATCAGGAGAAAATACTGCTCGAACACAACCATACAGCCCAGAAACCATACAAAACCCCAGTGATTCCAGATGTGAAAGCCTTTGACAATACATAAAACAAAATTTTCTGCCCAGGAAACACTTTTTTTCTTTGCCGAAAATAATTCTTTCTGGACCATAAATCCCCCAAAATTCCTCCAGGATTGTGTAGAAAACTGTTTTCTGTGCAAAGCAACCATGTGCAAATGTTGTGTAGAATGCATTCTGTACTCTGAAGATTCTCTTCAATCTAAAATTCTTCTTGTTAATTGATTACTGGGATCCTAAACTAATGAGATTATAAAAATGAGGCTGCTGTTATAGAAACATCTTCCAGAACCAAAGTCAGGTGGGTAAAACAAGACCAGGGAGTTCTGGAGGTTGACTAGATAAACATATACCAGAGGCTTCTGATATATGTTAAACAAAACCAAAATAACATACCATATTTTCTGGCATATAAGACTACTTTTAACCCCCCCAAAAATCTTGGCAAAAGTCAGGGGTCGTCTTATACATGGGAGTAGTCTTATACGCCGGGAGTCGTCTTATAGAGCGGGTGCTAAAACTTCCAATCCAGATTGGAGAATCTGTGTTTGTTGCATATGGTGGGGGGAGCTCAAAAATAACAGTGACCGCGTCCCTGCCATATGCAGCGACTGTATGAAAGGATTAAGGGCGACGCTGTACAAGTATGGTAGAAGAAAATCCATTCATCAGGATTCGTGGACTTAATGCAGTCCCAATGGTGAGGTGAAGGGGCGCCACAACGGGAAGGTGTAAATGAAAGACAGAGTAAGCTGCAGGCGTCCGGGGTACCCGGGGTATGGAAAAAAGAGATAGAATGGCTCTGGGCCCAGAAAAACACACCTCTTTTACCTGTCTGGCCCGCCCTTTTATGCTATTACTGTACCTCCTCCTCTGCCTCTCAGGTCTCGCTCCTGAAGACTGCAGTGAAGTGGTGCAGGTGCGCAGGTGCGAGATCTGAGAGGCAGAGAAGGAGGTACAGTAATAGGAAAATTACCATGTTGAAATCAAATCTGATGCTTTTAAAAAAATTATTTGGTGTGCGTTGGAAGAGGGGTAGTCTTATACGGCGAGTATATCCCAAACTCTATATTTTAACTGGAAAAGTTGGGGGTCGTCTTATACACCCAGTCATCTTATATGCTGGAAAATACTGTACTTTCTCAAAGTTGTCCAGAAGAACTGAAGTACATTCTAGTAAATGACCACGAGAAGGCAAATATATTTATTATTCATTTCATTTAATTAAGTTAAACATCTATATATGGTGAGCAACTGGAATTGTATGAAAGCAACTAATATTCTAGCTCTCCTTTAAAAAAAAGAGTGTAGAAACATAATTTGGTGTCAGTGATATAAATTTTCCAAGGAAGTACTTTGAAAGACTTCCTGAGTTTTAACACTAAGGTCCAAACTAGATATAGCACTGTCAGGGCCATCTGTTTAATTCTGAGTGTGACCACATTCTTGGACCTTGATTTTACAGTGTTTATTCTTTGACTATTGGACTAGAAATCAGGAAAATAAGCACTGAATCCTTGCTCGGCAATAGAAACCAATTCTCTCTGAGCTTCATAGCAAACCTCCATATAAATATTAATAAGAAACTCCTAAAATTGGGTTGGTATGACATTGGAATTGATATTCCTGCTTCTTGGCAGAGGGTTGGACTGGATGGCCCAGGGGGTCTCTTCTAGCTCTATGATTCTATAATTCTACTAGCTGTCCCCTGCCATGCGTTGCTGTGGCCCAGTCTGTGTATATATGTTGTGTGTGTATAGATTTGTGTATACATATGTGTTTGTGTATATATGTGTGGTTTTATTTTTTGGCTTTTTAAGTCTCTTCCGCCATGTTTTTCAGTGTTTTATGAATCATGGTCACTTGTTGGCCTGATAGTGGTTTTTGAGTTATGTTAATCCCATAAACGAACATTATATTTTTATTTATATAGATGATATGAAGGCCATATAACAACTAGGTCTCTTCCTCAAGCTTTCAATCCCAAGCCATGAGCAAACTCATTGCTGAGCTAAGAAAAACACTGTCCTAAAGGATGGAGTATGGGAAAGTGAACCTCAGGTGAAGAATATACACTACTCATCCATTTTGCAGTAAATTTTGATCCCACCATTCCTTTTAACTATATATTTAAACAGATGGCTTTGATGATGTTATCCTTAGTTTGGATCACAGATATATGAATAACTACCACATGGGGAAAACATGTATAGGTACACACTCACTAGTACCACTAAAATACATTTTTGTCCATTGTAATTATCATCATCATCATCATCATCATCATCATCATCATCATCATCAAAATGATTACATACCAGTTTCATGATGTCTTGGTTTTTTCTTATGTAAACAGCATATTGTTATGCTAATAATGGCACAAATAACAATTATCGAAGCGCAGACTATGATCACAATAATAGTAACCTGATTTAAAATCTTGTCATTTTTCTCAGGAACTTTAGTAACGTTAGGAACGTTCGGAACGTTAGTAACGTTTGTGCTATTTGGGCTGGGAGTGTTAGTTGAACCAGGAGTAGGAGGCAATGAAGCAAACAGCAAAACTGCTCTTGCAATATTAGATGCTTCTCCAACATTGTTGCTGTCATCAATGGCACGGATGGCAAAGTAGATGGAGGTGCCGTTTTCTTTGGGGAACTCTTCTGGCTTATAAATAAGGGATTGTTTGGCTCCAGCCACTTCAGGTGTCAGACCAGATGTGTTCAGAGAGGTAGCACTATTAAAGGTGGCATCTCTTAGTTCCAACGGGTTAGTACTCGTTTTTATTTCATATCTTTCAGCTGCAAAATAAAGAATAGACAACAAATGGCTATTAGAACATGTAGGCAGCACATGCCTACTAGAATATACTTAAGTACACAGCAAGAATGTACAATACATATTTATTAGAATACAGAGTTCCCACAATTTATTACTGAAATAGGATTTTCCCCAAATGCCCACATTGATTTTTTTTCATGGATTTTGTGTATGCATATTGGAGGCTTCCACTGTCCATTCACATGGATACTCTCAGTTATCATGGAGACCTGTCTAACTTTATTGAGATTGGAAAACTAAAAACATGGACTGGGCATCAAAACACATTGTACACACATAGCCCATATCTAAAAGTGTTAAATGTATGACAGAAAACAATATGTTTTCTTCCAGATTCTCTTATTTCTTTAATCAACATTGTGTAGCACCCAATTTCAGGACTGAAGACCTCTCAGACTGGACATTTTGTAAAAAAAATGAACATTTAGCAAAATATGTGTAAAATCCTATTTTATGTCTGTCTTCCATAACTCAAGAAGACAATTTTTATAATTTTTATTATTCATCGCTTTTGTGGTTTTTAAATGTATTGTAATGTTTTGCTTTTTACTGATGTATGTATTTTTATATATGGCATCTAATTGTTGTCGACTTGTACGCCACCCTGAGTCGCCTTCGGGCTGATATGGGAAGGAAACAAATGTTTAAATAAATAAATAAATAAACAAACAAACTCTTTTTTTTTTACCCTGGCAATATCTCTGGTCTTGATTTTACCTTAATCCAAAATGAGGGTGAATAGCATGTGACCTGCATCACTGAGACTGTGCTGTCGCATGCTGGGCCTGAAATAATGTCTATTTACAGGACGTGCTCTCTGTATGCCCAATGGGATGCCAGGGTGCCTCAGCTGAAGGGCCCTTTAGATTTCCCAACACAAAGTTCTATTGAGGCTTGAGATAAATTCAACAAAGTTCTTTATTTGGACTTAAATCTTCAAACAAATGAATTAAACACTTTATAACCTTGGAAAACCGGTAGCTTCCTCAATCTGCCAACAAGGGGCAGGCAACTGGTGGTAAACTGTTCCTTTCTTCCTTAGGGAAATCCTTTGACCCCTCCCTGGGCAATCTCTCTTTACCTTGCTGGCGTGAGGCCCCTACTCCCGGCTCCAAGCTGTGTTATGGATAGCCCGAGTGGTCCCTTACCAGGCAAGGTTCCTGTAGATCTGCCAAGCTGAAAGGTGTCCTTTAGTTTCTCCACGAAGGCTGTGGGAACTATTTCTTTAACCCCCAGCAAAAGCTGTGGAACTGTCCTGTTGCTCCAGCAAAGGCTGTGCTGTATTCCCCAGCAAAAGCTGTGGAACCTTTCCTTTTTCCCCAGCAGAGCTGTGAGAAATGAAGTCTTTGTGCAGGTGGGAGAGAGAGACCCACACGTCCTGCTGTTAAGCTTCCAACAGTAAGACTGAACAAAATCCCCCCTTCCCTCCAAAACCCTGGGAAAAGGCACAGGTCTAAAGATTCTAATGATGATTGCCAAGTTGTTGGCCCTATGATTGCAACCTGAGGGAAGCTACCCTATTGCAAAATGCATAGCTTAAATAGATTCATGCAAACTAACAATGCAAGAAAAAGAATCAAATCTCCTGGCACTGCCGTGCCAGCACAGAGACTATTTCTGTGAGTTCCCATATGTTCAGGATGGGTCATGTCTTTGCCCTAAAATGTGTGTAACTCTTCCTGCAAAACTCTAGAAAAATTAGTAGGGGAGGAAACATTGGTCAATTGCAACTCTGCCTAGCTATTGCCACTCCCAAGATGTTAAAGAGAAGGAATTTATTGTATAACTAGAACTTGGAATTGGAATTTCTCCTTCTTATGGAGTAAGAGAGCTTTGTCTTTCAGAAGAACCAAGAAGAGCCCTTTAGTTTCACAGCAGTTCACTTACCTTTTCCTGAATCATAATCATTCCCAGGAGCTGTCCAGGACAAAAGGAATACGTCGTCCTCATTGAGTTCTACCTCAAGATCGGTGATTTTACTTGGTGGGAAGACATCTGGGGGGATTCCAGGAGGAACTCCAGTCATGACAAAAGAGCCTCCTGATGTTGTTCTGCTGAAACTTCCAAGATTTGCCTGGATATCATCCTCACTAGGTTCAGGTTTGGGTGCATTCAGTTTTATTACACCTTAGAGAAAACATTGTATTGAAAAGAAAACTTATCAGAGCATGTGGCTACAAATCTTTAATCCTTCTAGTACTTTGCTGGCTTATTTGTCATGTTTCTGTTTTTCAGGTGCCCAATCCTATCTTGCTAAAATTTGGCATTTTTTTGTTTGCAAATTTTTCATTCATAGCTAAGGAGCTGGAAAAAGTGTTGATCTGCTATCTTCTCAGAATCAATACTAGTGATATTGTTTTTCCCACATTAGTCATTCTATGATCATAGCAAGAACTGATGCTGTGGATCACACTGGTTGGACAAATTTAAACAACCCAATTTCTTTTAGTAAGAAGACTGACAGTGAAAGCTCTAAATAGCTGTTTTTGATATGATTATGGTGAATAGCCAGAAACAATTATTCATCTAAGGAAACATATCTCTTTTTCTCCTCTTTCCTCCCTGCTGAGTAATAATATAAATAAACAAAAAACTTGTCACATATGATAGATCAAGATAGCAGGAGCCCCCAGTGGTGAAATGGGTCAAAGCTTTGTGTGGGTTTGTATGGAGAGAGTGGGTTGACTTCCCTATGTCAGCTCCAGCTCCCCATATGGGGACATGAGAGAAGTCTCCCACTAGGATGGTAAAGACGGCCAATTCTCTCACACCAGAAGCAAGTTGCAGTTTCTCAAGTTACTTCTCAGATGAGGTGGAGGCCTGGGGCAGTCCTATAAAGGCTGCAAAGTCCTATAAAGGTGGGGGAGCTGGCCCTGGCCAATCCAGGGGTGGAGCAGGGCCTGCCACTGGTTGGCCAGCCAGCCAAGCGGCGGGAAATTTCCCACCACGCAGGGGGCTTCTGGGAAGAAAAAGCCCCCTGCAAGCAGCATGGCTAACACTAAAATAATATTATAAATCATAAAAATATGATTGACAATAAATAGGATTGTAAATACTGTGTGTGTATATATAGAGAGTGTACCTACTTCACGGACTTTCACTTCCAGGGTGGTCCTGGAACGTAACACTCGCAATAAGTGAAGGAACACTGTACTGCCTTTCTCTGGACAGGCTTAGGACAAGAATGGCAAAAAGGAACCTTAATTTCCATAATAATTAATTAGATTTCTGTATCCATGGATTCTGTTTGTAATAGATTCAACCATCCAAAAGACATCTCCCCCTGCCCACCCCCAGCCAAAAAATTCTAAAAACTAAACTTTATCAATTTATATAAGGGTCACCATTTGACTTTATCACTTTGTGTAATGGGATTTGAGTATCCTCAGATTTTGTTATCCCTGGAAAATTCAGGAATCAACCCCAGCAGATACTAATGACCCTCTTGTATCACAACCCATTTTTGTTAAAAGAAAGACTGAGAATCCCCTTTTCTATCATTCTTTTGTACCAATATTATTTCATAGTTAATTCTCACCATTTTCCACATAACCCGGTACATAGAGAGCATGACTCTGCCTCCGAACTCGTCTGACAATATTGTCTTTTCCTTGGACACGCACTTTGATGCTGTATCTGCCGTTTTCTGTGAAAGCTGTGAAGCATCTTGAGTAGATTCCATCAAACTTCAGAATATCAGCTCCTTAGTACATAAAATATTGAGATTTTTTTTAAAAAAATCTTATGTCTGGGCAGTTTTAAAAGAAATATAGCTTGTATCAGAGTTATTTCCCCTTATTTTCATGGAAGTAAATAAAGGTCTGGCTATTTCTATGTCTCTTATCAAAAGGAGTAGATTGATTCTTGGTTACTTGCATTGCATGTGCCTAAAGTAATTTTGATATATGTGTCATATGTACTATCCATGCCAGTGTGTCAACTGCAGACAGCATACCCACTTCTGAGATGTACAGAGGGCATTCTAAATTGCTTTATATCTCAAATGCTTTTTAAAAATCACAAATACTAAGGAAGATCTTATTTAATAAATTAGTAGTCATTGAGATCTACACTGGCAAGTCCTATACTACAATAGTACAAATACTACACAACAAAGAGTATATAATTCAACAATACTGTGTGATCCAACTATAAAATAATAAGGCGACATGACTCCTAGCACATTAATGATGTATCAGTGCAATAACAAACAATGCAAATGACAGTTGCAATGGCTCCTGGCTTATGTTTCAGGACTATGTGATTTTAAGTAATTGCTTTAATTGATATGGAGCCCCAGTTGGCACAGTGGGTTAAACCACTGAACTGCTGAGCTTGTTGACCACTATCAGCTCCAGCTTCTGCCAATCTAGCAGTTGGAAAATATGCAAATGTGAATAGAACAATAGGTACTGCTCCAGCGGGAAGGTAACGGCGCTCCATGCAGTCGTGCTGGCCACATGACCTTGAAGGTATCTATGGACAACACCGGCTCTTCGGCATAGAAATTGAGATGAGCACCATTTCTCGGACACGACTGGACTTAATGTCAGGGGAAAACCTTTATCTTTTTACCTTTAATTGATATGTTTTAATCATACAATTTTAATGTATATGTTGTTTTATTTTTATATGTACTCAAGGCATCGAACTGTGCCTCTGTTGTTAGCTGCCTTTCTCACTTTGGAGTGAGAAGGGCAGGATATAAATGTGGTAAATAAATAAAAAAAATAAAAACAGAAGGAAACTTCATCCTTTTCTTAAGCATTTTGTTATTGTTAAGGTACTATGTATTTTGCACTACATGTGCATAAAGCAACTCTGATGAGCCAGTCATATATATTACCCTCCACAATGTATTCTAACATAGGTGTGATTAATACAAAGTAGACAAAATTGTCTTGCTGGATCTGAAAGGGAAGACAGGTTGAAGGTGACAGTCTGGACAACATAAGGACCCAACCCAACCAAGAATAGATCACTTCTCATGCCTTCGGTTGGATTGCATTCATGCAATTAGATCATTAAAAGGGGGAGCATTCCTGCTCACAGAAATTGCTTTACATGGAGATGGAGATGGTTCCATCTCCATGTAAAGCAATTTCTGTGAGCAGGAATGCTCCCCCTTTTAATGCTCCAGTTAAGGAAGATCTTACTTTATTTATATAGATCATAGAATCATAGAATCAAAGAGTTGGAAGAGACCTCATGGGCCATCCAGTCCAACCCCCTGCCAAGAAGCAGGAATATTGCATTCAAATCACCCCTGACAGATGGCCATCCAGCCTCTGCTTAACAGCTTCCAAAGAAGGAGCCTCCACCACACTCCGGGGCAGAGAGTTCCACTGCTGAACGGCTCTCACAGTCAGGAAGTTCTTCCTCATGTTCAGATGGAATCTCCTCTCTTGTAGTTTGAAGCCATTGTTCCGCATCCTAGTCTCCAAGGAAGCAGAAAAGCTTGCTCCCTCCTCCCTGTGGCTTCCTCTCACATATTTATACATGGCTATCATATCTCCTCTCAGCCTTCTCTTCTTCAGGCTAAACATGCCCAGCTCCTTAAGCCGCTCCTCATAGGGCTTGTTCTCCAGACCCTTGATCATTTTAGTCGCCCTCCTCTGGACACATTCCAGCTTGTCAATATCTCTCTTGAATTGTGGTCCCCAGAATTGGACACAATATTCCAGCTGTGGTCTAACCAAAGCAGAATAGAGGGGTAGCATTACTTCCTTAGATCTAGACACTATGCTCCTATTGATGCAGGCCAAAATCCCATTGGCTTTTTTTGCCGCCACATCACATTGTTGGCTCATGTTTAACTTGTTGTCCACGAGGACTCCAAGATCTTTTTCACACGTACTGCTCTCGAGCCAGGTGTCCCCCATTCTGTATCTTTGCATTTCATTTTTTCTGCCAAAGTGGAGTATTTTGCATTTGTCACTGTTGAACTTCATTTTGTTAGTTTTGGCCCATCTCTCTAATCTGTCAAGATCGTTTTGAATCCTGCTCCTGTCCTCTGGAGTATTGGCTATCCCTCCCAATTTGGTGTCGTCTGCAAACTTGATGATCCTGCCTTCTAACCCTTCATCTAAGTCATTAATAAAGATGTTGAACAGGACCGGGCCCAGGACGGAACCCTGCGGCACTCCGCTCGTCACTTCTTTCCAAGATGAAGAGGAAGCATTAGTGAGCACTCTCTGGGTTCGTCCACTTAACCAATTACAGATCCACCTCACCGTAGTTTTGCCTAGCCCACATTGGACTAGTTTCCTTGCCAGAAGGTCATGGGGGACCTTGTCGAAGGCCTTACTGAAATCCAGGTACGCTACATCCACGGCATTCCCCGCATCTACCCAGCTTGTAGCTCTATCGAAGAAAGAGATCAGATTAGTCTGGCATGACTTGTTTTTGATAAATCCATGTTGACTATTAGCGATGACTGCCTTTGTTTCTAAGTGTTTGCAGACCGCTTCCTTAACAATCTTTTCCAGAATCTTGCCCGGTATCGACGTGAGGCTGACCGGACGTTAGTTGTTTGGGTCATCCTTTTTTCCCTTCTTGAAGATTGGGACCACATTGGCCCTCCTCCAATCTGCTGGAACTTCTCCCGTTCTCCAAGAACTCTCAAAGATGTTGCCAATGGTTCCGAAATGACTTCCGCTAGTTCCTTCAATACTCTTGGTGTAGTTGATCTGGCCCTGGGGACTCATTTAGAGCAGCCAGGTATTCCTGGACGACTTGTTTCCCAATTTGGGGTTGGATGTCCTCTAATCCCTCATCCACTCCATCTTGCTGAGGTTGAAGACTCTCTTTTTGTGAGAAGACCGAGGCAAAGAAGGCATTAAGTAGTTCTGCCTTTTCCCTATCCCCTGTCAGCATTGCCCCACCTTCTCCGCGAAGAGGTCCTATCGCCTCCTTGTTTTTCCTTTTTCTACTGACATAAGAATAGAAGCCCTTTTTATTGTTATTAATGTCCTTGGCAAGTCTGAGCTCGTTTTTTGCTTTAGCCTTGCGGACCTTTTCCCTACAGGTGTTGGCTATTTGTTTGAATTCTTCTTTGGTGATTTCTCCCTTTTTCCACTTCTTGTGCATGTCTCTTTTGTGTCTTAGCACAGTTAGAAGTTCTTTGGACATCCATTCTGGCTTCTTTGCACTTGTCCTATTTTTTCTCTTTGTTGGCACGGTTTGCAATTGCGTCTTGAGTATTTCACTCTTCAGAAATTCCCATCCATCCGTAACTCCCTTGTCTTTTAGTATCTGTGTCCACGGAATGCTGCTCAGCATTTCCTTCATTTTTTGGAAATCAGCTCTCCTAAAGTCCAGAATGCGGGTTTGACTTGTCTTAGTTTCGGCCTTCCTTTGTACCTCAAATTGCAGGAGCACATGGTCACTTGCCCCTAAGGATCCTACCACTTCGACCGCATCGATCAGGTCCTCCACATTTGTTAGGATGAGATCAAGAGTAGCCAATCCCCTTGTTGCCTCTTCTACCTTCTGGACCATGAAATTGTCTGCAAGGCAAGCGAGGAATTTGTTGGACCTTGTACTCTTGGCCGAGTTTGTTTTCCAGCAAATATCGGGATAGTTGAAATCGCCCATGACTACTACATCTCTTCTCTGTGCCTGTTTGGTCAACTGTTGGCAGAAGACTTCATCAAGTTCTTCCTCCTGGCTTGGGGGTCTGTAGTAGACGCCTACAACGACATCCTTTTGAGTCCCAGTTCCCTTGATTCTTATCCAGATGATTTCAAGCTGGTTTCCCAGATTGCTGTCTTGAATCTCTTCTGCAGCATAAGAGTTTTTGACATATAAGGCTACTCCGCCTCCTCTCCCCTTTGTTCGGTTTCTGTGAAAGAGGTTATACCCATCGATATCTACATTCCAGCGATAGGAGTCATCCCACCAGGTTTCAGTGATCCCTATGATATCATATTTGTGGTGTTGTGCTAAAAGTTGGAGATGCCCATTGACAAGTGCTAAATTGCATAAGATTTCAAGTACAACACAATAAGGTATGTATAATAACACAAACACTTGAAAATAAACTTACCTGAACCATCATCAAATAGTTCTAGCTCTACAGATTTACCAGATTGGGATTCAACTGTAGCAGTGACATTTGCACCAACAACGGGCAAAAATCCCTGGCTGACTTCTGCATAAATGACAATTGGATTGGGATAGTTGTTGTCATCTCTGTTCATATAAGGCTTCACAGTCACTGGAGGCACAGATGCAGATGCTGCCCGGGAGGTGACTGTTATTGAAAGGACTTGTTCAGTTGAGTGTGTATTCTGAACAGAATAAGTCCAATCTCCTGCCTGTAAAGCAAAATGTTACAACATGAGATGCGGCATATACGACTTCTTGAAACGAATGATGTCCCCAAACTTGTACAGTTTGTCATGTTGTTTAATCTACATTTAGCACAGCGGCATTTTCAATAGCTCCATAAGACAGTCATTTGCCTGTTTTTAGAGAAGGCACAGACACATAGTCAATGACTCATAAGTTAAATTGTGACCCCTTCTACGCTGCCATATAAAAGCAAGATTATCTGCTTTGAACTGGAGTATACCGCAGTGTAGACACAAATAATCCAGTTCAAAGTGGATAATGTGGATTATCTGATTTGATAATCTGGATTCTATGGCAGTGTAGAAGGAGCCATAGAAGTAAACAAAAGTAAGTAAACAAAAACAAAAAAACAGTTTCTACCTCAGCAGTTCCAGGAATCTTGAGTCGAGCTGTTCTGACATTGGTGCTATCGATTTCAAAGTTAGCCTGAGTATATTTCTTCCCTTTGGGAGATGTTATAAGAATCCCTGGTGGGTAGTTGGCTATGCTCCATGTAACTACGAAGAAAGTATCATTTCCCACAGTATTATCAATGGACACAGTTCCATCCAGCCACGCTAAGCGCTTGATGGTTTCTCCTTTGCTTTCCAGCTATTAAAAAAGGTCAAGAGCAGAAAAGTAAACATATGTTAAATTATATATTTTATTTTAATTTTTATGTTGTGCTTACATCAATACACCACCTAGAACATATCTGCTGGAGAGATATTAAAATGAACAAAAACAAAACATAATGTTCCGAAATACACAAATGTTGTTTTGTGCTCTTGACTTCCCAATGGAGGTCAAACTCAAACATGCAAAATTTTTAGGAAGAATGGAATGGAAACCTTTCATTATAATTATAATCATAAGGAAATGAATAGAACAGGGTTTGTTGGACAAATCCTTTTTTCTTTTTCTTTTTTGTGTTCCCTTAATTTTTTTCTTTCCTTTCCTTTCCTTTCTCCTTTCCTTTCATCACCTATGAGACTCTGGATAACTAATACGTTTTGTATTTTTTATTTTTTTTACTAGTTTTGGATTTTTAAACAGAGATATATAATTTCAGTGTACTGTTGGAAAAGGAAGACATGCAGATAGTTAAATATATTAACATTTTCCTTACTCAATACTAATTTACAAACAGATTAAATTAAAATTTTACATTTACTATGATGATTAAAATTTGATTTAAAATTTTAAAATAAATATTACATATGAATTTAATAGACAGGTATGGACTTCTGGAACTGGAAGAAGAGACAAGAAGATCATAAAATGATACTGGAAGAAGATACAGTATTGGACTTAATATTTGGTGACAACATCACTCCTCACTTTATTATAGTAAATACTTGGGAATATTTGATATTTTATATAATTCTTATAATTGATATAAGGAAATAGATGTATTAAAAAAGAAAAATGCTTTAATAAAAATGTCATTATTTCAATGTAATAAGGACATTAAGAAAACTTTGTACATTGATGATTGTCTTTCCTCCTTTTCTTTAACCCCTTCCTTCTTCTTTTATGACTTATTTAATATTTGTCCTGATTTGATCTACTAACAATAACTCCCAACTTCCTTTCTTTCCTATTTTCCCTTTTCTTCTTTTTTGTTGTATAAATTGATTTTTTAAATTAACCCCCCCCCCCCAAATAATATCTTTTATCTGATTTCTTAAGCTGCACTTATATTAATAGTATCTGCAGGAGAGATACTCAAACAAACAAAAACAAAACTTAATGTTCCTAAATACACAAATGTTGTTTTGTTGTTGATAGCTCTCTATTTCCCAGTGACGGTCAAACTGGAATTTAGCTATAGCTTTGATTCCACTAATATATAGGTTTAAGATGGGGTTACATAAGTGGATGTCATTTTTTCAGACTTTACAGGAGGAAATATTCATTTCATTTTCCTGCAATGGCTTATCCTCAACTAGCAGCTTCAAGGTACTAGAGTCATTGCGTTGGTCATTGAATTGATAGAAAGAACAAGCGGCACCTAAGCACCATCCAACTACACTTTTGCAGCCAGGAAGCAAGTTGATGTTCATTATCCAGATGGTTAGTGAGATCACTTGTTCTCAGTAGTTGGAACCACAACATCAGGTTATTTTCCCCAAAAAGTGCTATGATATGCTGTCCAAATACCTCCTTCTCAGCACTGGCCACTACCTATATTGCTTGAAAGAGGTTTCTCAGTGGAGAGGGAACAAGGATTTGTGCTTGCAGAGCACTGTTACTATTACTACCCCGCAAAAACTCTGATGATTTCCAAATATTTGAAACCCAAACCTGAATAGATTGTTGACTGATATCTCCACTTCCAGATGAAATTCTACTGAAAGCATCAATGAGGCCGTTGGAATCCAGACTATCAGTGGCAGAAAATTTCAAGCCTCCTGAATATGATATGAAGAGTAAACAAACAATCTGACAGCTGAAATAAAATGTATTTTCTATATTCTGTTTTATAGTGATGCATCAAAATAAGTTTAACAGTTGCATATCGACTCACTCAGTCTTATACATAGACATATAGTTCTGTGGGATCTGTAACTTCTTTACAAAGGAATATGTTCTTTTATACAGAAAAATGCAGCAAAACCATTCTTTTTTTCCATTTGCCAAAAATTCACATTTGAAGCTAGCTAGATATTGAGATTAAGACAAGAAACTTATATAAGGATTATAAAGAGCTCCCCACATAAAACAAACCCCTCATATTAATTTAAAATGTCTTGGTATATTTTCAAACTAGATAGTTATAGCAGTATGGTTGCACTTTAATGGGCTTTGCCACGTCCCATGGAATTCTAGTATTTATAATTTGGTGGATCACGTGGATCCTCTAAACACCCTTTCCTAAAATGTAAATCCCAGAATTTGATAGGCAACATAGCAATTTGAAAGTTCTACCAGTTGGATCCTACTACACAACCATGGCCTTGATATACGGGTAAGTATGGTTTAGACATATCAAGTTGCCCAGGCTTGATTCTGCTCATAGAAGAAGAAAAATGCCAAATGCAGTTTCCATCTTTCTCATCTTCTGTATCATATTCCGAATCTTTCCAATGTGTTTCCAGAACAATTTGCAGTGGTGCAATTATCCCTGTTCCACTTTAGCAGAGATATATTTAGTATCAAATAATAATGGACTGACTGTGAATCCATTAATGCAATAATTCGCTTTTTTTACACCAAAGGTGGCCAGTATATACCAGCAGCAACAAAGGTCTTCCAAGCAAAGGTAACAGCCCAATTATTATACGCAATTCCGGTGTGGATCACAGGCTTCACATCTAAAGTAGAACAAGTTCAATCAGGGTTTCTTAGAAAACTGTTTGCTGTCCCCAGTTGTGTTCCATCTGCTGTTTTAAGACTGGAATCAGAATGGCCTCACTCGAATCACTGGCTTGGAGAAGGGTCCTAGGATACTGGATGGAGAGGGTGCAAAAAGGGCCTGAAGCGGGATATACATATCTGATTCAAAAAGACCTCTTTAAATCCCACCGAATCAAAGCACTAAATCAGAAACTCAGGCAGATGGGCCTCTCAGAGAATATATTGAGCGGTTTTGAGCATAAAAAGTTAATGCAGATCTTAGCAGAATGAATCAGTGACATAGACAGACAGGACTCAATGACTCTGGCGTGCTCCACATGCTCTCCATTGAGTTTATGCCTAACATTTAATTCTTTGGGAGGTGCCCAATACTTAAAAAATTTAAACATCCCAAAATTTCGCCTTGCTTTCAGTTGGGCCAGATTCAATGCCCTCAAATCAGCCATACTAGAGGGTAGATGCAAAGGGACTGATTACGAACACAGAGTTTGCCCATGCGGGGAGGGTAAAATTGAAACTGTAATACATGTTCTTTTTATTTGCACAAGTTACAAGGATGATAGACTAAGGTTAATATCCCCTCTACTCACCAAGTGGCCAGGAAGATCCCTAAGTTGGTACTGCACTTATTTACCGTCTGATCTTCATAAAAGGGAAACGGAACAGGTGGCCAAATTTCTGTTTGCAGCGGCAAAAAGCCGCAAGTGCTTCATGAATAACCTGTAAAAGGCTGAGTGTAACAAAGAGTACTTGGGAGACTTATTATTAATTCGCAATCAGTTCCTGTTTTAGATTATATAGACAGTCATTCATCCGATAGCGAATGGTGATACTTGTTTTTATTAATTATAAGCCAAATGTGGTGTTATTAATTGTTAATTGTTGTATTTCATCATTCTACTTTCACTTGACTTAGCCGATGGTTTGTTGACCGAAATAAAGGCTACTGACTGACTGACTGAAATTAATGCTGATAGACTTAGAGCGGCTATATGATGTAAAAAATATTCTGACTAATCACGTACCAGTCATGTCTGCCAACATTTCCAGTTCTTTTGCAGCACTTGGTCCCAAAGCAATGGTATGAATTATTGACCCACTCCTTTGAACTTCAGCAGAACAAGAGCTTACACCTGAATCTTCTCCATCGGTCAAGAGCACAATTTCACAGCCTTCTGTACTTGTGTATTTCTCTAAAAACACCTAGATAAAAGAGAGTATTTGTAAAAAATTGTTTTCATATTAGAACACACACACACACATATGTCAATAACCAGCATTAGCACAAATAGAACATATATCAGAGCAAATGGGCATAAAAATGAATCAGTTAATGTCTTTCTTGTAAGAGCCAGAGGCAGAGTTTTGAACCTTTCCACATGAACCAGCAGAAAACAAACTCACTTGATTTCTAAATGACAGCACTCCAAAGATTTCAAGATTCATCTTCAGGTTAAACATACCCAGCCATGATTCATAGAATTTAAGTTCCAAATCCTTGGCTGTCTTGATGATATCTTCAAAACACATTCCCGGTTGTTAATATTTTTCCTAAATGGTGATGGCCAGAACGGTGCACAGTATTCCAGGTGAAGTTTGGCCAAAGCAGAAGGGATTTATAGTATTGTCTCCCATTTTAGTCTGTTTTGGTCCAAATTTGCATCATTTTTAATAATTAAAAATGATGCAAAATAGTAAATATAGTAAATAAATAAATAAATAAATAAGTTGTCAATCTTCTTTCACGCACACCCAATATTGCAAAGCCCCCTCCCCCCAAAGTGCATATGTATACATAGATATTTATGTAGGATTTCCAACAATTGGTTCCAAGGTTACTAGATAAATAAAATATAGTCCAAAACATCTAAAATAATAAGAAATGAAGTATCTGATATTTTCTCCTTCACCTGAAATCCTTCACGCACTCCAGCACAGATGTTAGTTCCTCCACTTGCTGTAGTAGGAAGATTGTTTTTAAGAGATTCCCGCACAGCATCATTGGTAATCTGCCGTAAACCGGTCTGCCTTAAGGCAATACTGTGAAAAGTTACAATTCCAACCCAGGATCCCATTTCAATAATCTGGAGAAGAAATAGTTCTGCAGCTTGCTTCAGCCGATTAATGCGATTGTACTGCATTTGGGAAGAAAATGTAGAAGCTTTAATACATATATGATATAAGAGATGATGAATTATTGAAAATACTTTATTCATAATAACTAATAGCCCTTTTTAGGAAAATCTCAGCTAAATAAACTTTTGCTAATAAAACACTGACAGATTACTAAAATGTACAAATGTCCTGAATATAACCATCTACATAGTAATCCGGGGCAAATAATAATGGTAGGTTACATACCTGTGACCATCTTTCTTCGAGTGGTGCTCTGCGAATTCACACTTGTGGAGAGACTGCGCCTGCGCGGGCTCCAACGGAAACTTCTACAGTTTAAACTTTTCAAGTTTTGGCGGTAACCCCGCCCAGCCCCGGCAGGGGATAAAAGGGCGCCCTGCACATACCGACACAATTCCTACGCCGCTACGGCAGCGAGAAATTAGAGGTTTGACTAAGGGGAGGCTGGGCGGGTTAGTGTGAATTCGCAGAGCACCACTCGAAGAAAGATGGTCACAGGTATGTAACCTACCATTTTTCTTCGTGGTCTCTGCGAATGCACACTTGTGGAGACTAGCAAGCTCAGGTCCCGGAGGCGGGAAGAAGGCAAACCGACCAATAAAGTCAAGGGCCAAACAATTTTATTAAGTGCAAACAGTTACTGAACAAGAGATTGTAATCACTTCCGAAGAAGGGCACAGTGCATAAACTTATGGGAGTACGTGATCCTCCCGGCCACATGAGGATGGCCAATTCACAGTGAAAAAACACTCAATAAGTGAGGGCATTCCTGAACAATTGCATAAACTTTTGACCCTTGGCAAACAACCAACATATTCATTATGGAAAAACACTCATTGCAATGAGGGCACTTCAAATAGTTACACAAAACACTATTGTCAACAAGTGCAAAAACACATTTGCAAAGCAAAATGGTCGATAGCAAAAAAAAAGCACTACCCGTCATGAGCCCCATGAGGCCAGAGTGCAAGGTTGCCGAAGGCATCAAGTATAACAGGTGCAATTATCGCTCAATTCGAGCAAACACAAGGTAATAACTGTCACAATAATATACGGTACCGAGGAGGTTCACGGTACCGACATAGCAAAAAAGCTTTTGAAGAGTTCTAAGGCGGACACGACTCCAGAATTGCCCTCCCAAAGGCCATGTCAGGTGTATACCTGGTATTCAGTCTGTAATGTGAAACAAATGTCTGAGGATTCTTCCAGATGGCCGCCTTGCAAATAGTGTCCAGAGGAATCCCCTTAAGGAAGGCTGTCGATGCCGCCATAGCCCTGGTTGACCGAGCCCGGACAACCAAGGGAGGTTGTTGTCGAGCCAGCTGGTAACAAAGCTCGATGGTCGAGGTGATCCAATGCGACAAACGTTGTGCCGTAATCGGCAAGCCCACCTTATCGTGGGCATATGCAACAAACAGTCGTTGGGTTCTCCGAGACTGAGCAGGTCTGTCCCTGTAGCACAGTAATGCTCTCCGCACATCGAGCATATGAAGTCTTTTCTCCGTTGGGGTAGAGGGAGATTGACACAACGAGGGAAGAACAATGTCCTCATTAACATGGAAAGGGGATACAACTTTAGGGAGGAATGTCACGTCTGTGCAGAGAACTGCCCTGTCCTCGTGGACAACAAAGTACGGTTCGTCCACACGCAGTGCCGCGAGTTCCGATGGCCTACGGGCCGAGGTGATGGCGACCAGAAAAGCCACCTTCCACGACAGCAGCCGAAGGTCGATCGACACCAAAGGTTCGAAGGGCGCTTGTGCGAGCCGAGCCAGCACAAGGTCGAGGTCCCAACCTGGAGTTGGGGAACGGACTGGGGGGTGCAGGTTGTTGAATCCCCATAGGAAAGACTTCACGGAGGTATCCTTAAACAAGGAAGCTTCTCCTGTCCGTTGAAGCTGCCAAGAGATGGCTGCCAGGTGAGACTTGAGCGACGATAGCGACAAGCCCCGTTCGGTAAGGTGCAGTAAGAACAAGAGAATTGACGGTACCGAAGGCCGATGATCGTCTAGCCCCTTCTCGGAGAGGAAGGCCTGGAAGCGGTTGAGGCACGCCGAATAGCATTTCTTGGTTGCTGGCTTGTGAGCTGCAGCCAGGATTGGGAGAACCCCTGGACACAGGGACCTCAGAACTGGATCCTCCACGCCGAAAGATGAAGAGAAGCGAGGTCGGGGTGGAGTAGCTGACCGTCTTCCCTGGAAAGCAGATCCTGCCGAAGTGGAAGGCGTCTCATCCGTCCCTCGGACAACTGGAGGAGGACCGAGAACCACGGTTGTCGTGGCCATTCCGGCGCTATTAAGATGCAGTTCGTTTGTGCCGATTGGATCCTCTCGATCACCCTCGGGATGAGCAGGAAGGGTGGGAAGAGGTAGAGCAGATGCCTCGACCAATCTAGGAGGAACGCGTCTCCAAGACACCCCGGTACCGTGTTCGGAGGAAGTCGAGCACCGAACTGCGGGAGCTGAGCGTTTTGCGGCGATGCGAAGAGGTCTGCAGCCGGAAGGCCCCAATCCCTGAAGACCTTGGCCAGTTCGTCGGGGTTCAACCTCCACTCGTGTGAGGTCGACTTGGTTCTGCTGAGAGCGTCCGCCTCGACATTGGTCTCGCCCGGAAGGTGTAGAGCTGTTATCGGCACCGACCTGGCTACACACCACTCCCATAGTTCTAGTGACAGCTTGAGAAGTTTTCTCAAGCCCGTGCCGCCCTGCTTGTTCACGTAGAACATTGCTACCATGTTGTCCGTAAGGATTTGGACAGACCTCCTGGTGACCAGGAGGGCGAATGCCCTCAGGGCTTTGAAGATCGCCAGCAATTCCAAGTAATTTATGTGGCACTGTCTTTCTTGTGGAGACCAGAGGTCGTGCACCGAGAGTTCTCCTGTATGGCATCCCCATGCGAACATCGAGGCATCCGTCGTGATCGTGACGGCTGGGGGCTCTGGGTGAAAGGGAATGCCCTTGCAGACATGCTGGTGGTTCATCCACCAGTTTAGAGAGTCCTTCACCGACCTCGGCATCAGCAGGCGTTTTGCGGCACTGTCCCGCATGGGGTTGAAGTGGTCCAAGAACCATCTCTGGAGGGGACGGAAGCGGAGTCTCGCCAACGGTGTCACCATCACCGTGGAGGCCATGTGCCCGAGGAGGACCCATATCTGCTTCGCTGGAACTACTCGGGATCGACAAACCTTGAGCGCCTCGGCACGAAGAGCCCTGAATCTCTCCTCCGGGAGGAACACCGACTGGGAGAGAGAATCGAACATGGCGCCTATGATCTTTATGCAAGTGGTGGGTTCCAGATGAGATTTCTCCTCGTTCAGCTGGAGGTCAGGATTTCCGAGGAGGGAGAGTGTCCTTGCCACCTGAATCCGCAGGAGGTCTGGGGAACGTGCCGCCAACAACCAGTCGTCTAGGTATGGGAAAATGCCCTTCTGAGGGCTGCTGCGACCACCGACATGCATTTGGTGAAAGTCCTCGGTGCCGTTATGAGCCCGAACGGAAGCACGTTGAAGGCATAAGTCTGTCCCGCTACCCTGAAGGCCAGGAAGCGCCTGTGGTGTTTCCTGACTGAGAGATGAAAATAAGCGTCCCGGAGATCGACGGACGTGAAGAAGTCCCCGTATCTGAGGAGAGGGAGTATGGACGATACCGTCACCATCTGGAACTTTTGGGGTTCAATGAAGGAGTTTAAGTCTCTGAGATCGAGGATTGGGCGGAGGGAGCCATCCGGCTTTGGGACAGTAAAGTATCTGGAGAAGAAGGCTCGATGGTTTTGAGAGTCTGGTAGAGGGGAAATGGCCCCTTTCAGAAGCAAGGTCTCGACTTCTGCCAGGATTGCTGAAGATGGTTCGGTATCGACAATATGCCCCGTTGGTGGGAGCTCTTCGAACTCCAATGCATAGCCTTCGTCGACAATCTTTAAAACCCATGCATCTGAGGTGATATTTTCCCATGCAGGGAGAAAGTTCGTCAGGCGATCCCCGAACGGTGTCCAGCCAGATGGAAGGATGAGGGCGGGTACCATCGGGAAGGACATGGGAACAACATCGGTAACGGAACTGTAAACGGTATCGTCCGTAAGGGCGTCAAATGTGGCGCCTGGCCTGGTTGCCTCCTGAGGCCTGGCGAGATCGCGAACGCTATTGCTGGTGCTGCCTCCGTTGTTGTTGGGGTTGTTGAGGGTGGGTTGGTTGGGAAGCATGCAGAGGACGGGCTGGCTGGCGGTACTGGATGGTGCGGTACGGGACCGTGTGCTGACGCTTGTACTGGGACCATCTGGTTCTCTGTGTCTGGTTCTGGTTCTCGAACCCGCACTTGGCAGCTAAAGTCTTGAAGTCATGATTTGACTTTAGCTTGTCGTCCGTCCCGGCGTTAAAGAGTCCCAAGGTATCGAACGGGAGGTCCTCGATGACCTGCCTCGATGATGTTGAGAGGCCAGAGGATCTGAGCCAGGCATGCCTCCTGATTGCCACGGCGTGGGCGATCATCTTGCCCGCAGTGTCTCCTGTGTGTTTGGCCATCTGCATCTGGTGATGCGCCAGAGAGTTCGCCTCCTGAGCCAGGGTGGAAAGGGCAGTGCGATCTTCATCAGACATCCTTTGGAAAAACAGTGCCGCTTTTTCCCAAAGGATTTGCTGGTATGCGCCCATACAAGCACCATAGTTGGCCATGCGGGCTAATAAGAGGGCACCAGAGTAGAGCTTTCGGCCCACCGCATCAAATCTCTTCCCTTCCCGATCAGACGGCATCGACGATTGCCTCCCAAACGCCTGAGCCGCCTTCACGACCACTGAGTTGGGATCGGGGTGATGTTTCAGGCACTCCAAACCCTCGTCGTCCGTTCTGTATCATGATTCAATTTTCTTAGAGGTTGGAGGGATGGAGGAAGGGGTCTTCCAAGAGCCCTGGATCACTTCAAGAAGGTAGGGAAGGAAGGGTAGAAGAGGAGCAGGTGGAGATTCTGATTGCACCCTCTTAAACACCGGGTCTTGCACTGCCTTGGA